TTAAAAACAGTAAAAAAGCAGTAGAATCAGCTTACACAGAAAAAAAGTTTGAAGAGGTTTGTGTTAGAATACTATATACCAATATAATTAAGTCACCAATATAATTAAGCATTCTGTGTGTTTAGAGTGTAATAAAAATAACTATATATAAATATTTCTCTTTGAAAACATCTAAAGGGATACTTTGAACAGAACACAAGTTTTGTATTTATTTGACTCATCAACATCAGCTCAACTAGTCAATAATATGTGATACACAAAAAAACATGCTCCAGAAAATAAATTGTTGTCTTGATTTTGACTCTTATCTTGAGTTCGCAACTGACAAGAGTTGTTCTTCGGAGCATGTTTTTTTTTTCATTTTATCAAATTTTCTTCTGGTTATGGTTTTAATTTTATGTACTAAATAAAATGACATGACCATGTTTCTAGATGGCACAAAACGCAATCTTTCTGGTAAACCAAGCGCCAGACTGTGATCTGTATCAGGTCATGTACGCTGAAAGTCTCGCCTTGTTGGGCGAATTTGAGGAAGCCTTTAATAAAGCAGAGTAAGACTTCTAATTATCATTTGAAGTCAGGTTAAAATAGCAGCGTTGTACTGTACTGATAGTATTATTTTCATTTCTAAAAATTACCTATATATAGTTCGGTAAGACGTCGTGACCAGAACAATTTGGAAGCGCGATATGTTTGTGGATATTGTCTTTATTACCAGGTAAACCACTAACCTATATAGATACACGGAAGTACATGCGCACAGTTTATTACGCATTAATCCAGCCCTGCATCATAGACAATCCAGAAGACATCTTTTCTTGTCTTTTGGGTTGTCTACGCCGTCGATTTTCCCGTAGTCAGTAAACTTTATAAGAATTTGTATTCCATGTACCACCAGGGTCCGATCTCCATGTACGTTGTATGAAATCCTCTTTGTTTAGGGCAATCTCTCATTGGCCGATGATACTTTTGCAAGTGTATTGAACGATGATCCAAGTCACTCGAAAAGTGAAACGATTCTCAAGGTGCATAAGCACAGACACGATAGTGACTCCCAACAAAAAGGCTTGCATGAGTATATATGCGCCTACTGGCGCGATGAGACAAGACGATGAGTATAATATTCTTCTATCGCCATCAGTTTTAAGAACTGCAATTAATGTTTTCCCATTTTTGTCAATACATGTCACTGTGACAATTGCCATTGGCCTATAAATATTATAAGTTATTTTCATTGTGTTACAAATTTTGCTTTAACAGATAATAAGAACTTTCAAGACACTTCACGACAATGCGAGTCAAGCTTGTGAAAATGGAGATTTTGGGAGAGCAATTCATTTCTATACTAGTGCACTCACAGTTGATGAAACAAATAAATGCTATCTTGCTCAACTGCACTTCAACAGAGGTCTTATAGCTGGAAAGAAGGTATATAATGGCGTAATGATCTCTATATGCATTATGCAAAGTTATACATTTGTTAGCTACTAAGCTTCAGCATGATGTCAGTATCAAAACCTGGTGATTAATTCGCATCTTAAAATGTACTTCTGTAGCTAAAGTGGTTTAAAAATGCAATCAAAGACTTCACAGAGGTCCTAAAATTGGACAGCGAACATGTTATAGCAACCTATAATAGGGCAAAATGGTATGGATAATAATGTAACGCAGTGTCCTCTGTTGGCATTTGCTTTTCCTTCAAGCCGCGTTGGAAACAACTAACCCCATTTCCGACACAAATCACGACATAGAATACTATATACCTAATAAACTTAGACCATCACCTTTGATATATATTTTATCAAGTAGTTCAGAATTTAGACTCAAACCACGACAGCTTACTGTAGAATACTACCTACAATGGACCATTGTAGTCAATGGACCACCACGTTTAAGATATCTTTTTCAGGTAGTTCAGACACAAACCACGACAGCTTATTGTAGAATACTACCTACAATGGACCACCACGTTTGAGATATCTTTCTGAAGTAGTTCAGACACAAACCACGACAGCTTATTGTAGAATACTACCTACATTGGACCTGCAAGGCATATATACACGACATCCTTTTTGCAACATACCTTTTTTTACATTCCCCCAAAATCTCTTAATGAACAATGTTAATAATACTATTTTGTGTGTGTAGTTTAGCTTTCATCGGAGAGTATAAAGAAGCCTCTGACGATTTTCTTGGTTTATACCAGAAAACTGGAAAGCAAGGTATATATAGCTACTGTCCGTCGGTAAATTCAATGTCTCCTGGCTAACTCATTTAGTTTTGACGGAGTATCGAGACTTTTTTGTCTTGCGATATGACACGGTATCACGAAAAATACACGAGTCATGCAGTGGATATACAACGCGGCCAAGTTTAGTTTTCTGTATTGCGTGATTGTGACAAAAAAAACAATGATGTATATACTATCGTTTGGGTGACTGTAGCAAATAGAATGATTCCATAGAAGAATAGTTTCGTGTTTGTTTACATACTGTAGCCCCGTTTACACTACACTCAATTTATTGGCACAGCACGGCTAAAATTGGTACCCGTGCCCAATTTTTTAGTGTTCAGGCTACCAAAACAAGGCCGAGCATAGATGAAATGGGCACGGATACCCGTTTTAGCCGTGCCGTATCAAAAAATCGAGTGTAGTGTAAACGGGGCTTGTTGGACTTCTTGCCGCGGTGAGGAATAGTGTTGAAGTCCTGTACGAATAGTGTATAAATTATTCATTGTTTATTCAACAGATCATCAAAATTTATACTTCGAAGCCCTTGATGCAGAGCAGAATCTTAGGATTTCTTTGGAACTGCTGTCGTTGGCAAACACGCGGATAGATAAATCAAATATTGAAGCAGCGTACGAAAAAAGGCTTTTCGAATTGTGCAAAGGTATATAGGGAATGGTGCGGTATCACATTGTATTTCCCCATTACTAAGTCAGCACGTTCTTTTTTCCAGATTTTGATCTTGGCGCGAACACCCAGACGAGAAAACAACAGGAACAGGAAGAGCAGTTGCAATCGGTATTGTTTTTACCTTCTTATATTTGTCACAATGATTTATACTAATTACACCTGACACCGGTGCCCTGCAAAGTCAAAATTGATTCGTAAAACATGCTAAGCACGGTGCTCTTGTTGAGTACTAGCCAGGCATGCCCGGTATAGTGCCTGAGTTTTCTCCCAGATTTGAAACCAATTGACTTTCAAATCCATACAACTCATATGAGAACTTAAGTAAAAAATGTTTTTCTTGCAGTTAGAACGAGCTCGACTGTTCTTACATGGTCATCTGAAGAGGAGAGATGGTGATGGAGATCAATACGATGTTTTGTCTCTGAAGGAGGTAATGTTTTGCTCTTTCTTTTTATTAGAAAGTGAAATTAATACAGGAACACGAGCACAAATTTAACTCATTGAAAAGAACTGCGTTAAAAACAGTTACAGTCGGTAAAAAAATCCAGAAGAATCGTATCTTACTCCCTTACTGATCAAAAACTCTTCCATCTTCACCAGAAAACATTTCTGAATATAATCTATGAGAAGACACAGGGTCTTTTTGATTAAGGATGAATCGTAATATGTATACCGTGTTCACCTTTTTCTGCAGTTCCTGCTTGAATTTGATTTGTCTGTATGATTTCCACCCGAAATCAAGTGCCATTAACAATCTGGAAATTAGTTTGTTAACTCGTTATTTTGTGTCCGTATTTTAGGTTTCACAGATGATTTGATTTAAACGTGCACCTGTCTTTTGCTAACACACCCTATTCAAACATTCATGGGAAGGTTTTATATAAAATTTAAAATTTTGCCAGTGTTTGTAATGCAACGTTGTAAACTGCATCTACTATAAACCATGAAATGTAGTAGTTGCTCCATAGCACCATGCACATTCTTGATAGTTTAAAACTGTAAGTAGAAAGTCATATTTATTCACTGCATTATTTAACAGGCTGGAATTTATAACAAGAAACTGATAATAATATTCTTGTAATTTTGCATGGTGGTATCACAATAGAAATATATTTGCTTGTAGGTACACCACGTAAGTGTTTAAAGCTTTCAGTCCATTAACCTGGTCCTTCATCAGTGCAATTAAACTGATTTAACCTGGGCCTTTATCACTGGCTTTGCAGTATTAAATACTAACCTGGTGTACCTGTTAAGGATCTATGACACTCTCTTGTTGTGTCAACTTATCTTTAGACACAGTGCCAGCGTCGCATCTAATGTATTTTTTTGTACGTTGATTGGCCCCGGGGCTATAACACGAGGCATGGACTAGGCGTGATTAATAATAGTTTTAGTTTGTGTGTCACAGAAGTAACACCTGTATCGTTAGTTGGTGCGTACTTAGTAAAATTTGTTGCTAAAGTAATAAAGTAGTAAAGTAATAAAGTGATAGTATTAGTTCACTATACATGCAGGACATAACTACTGTTGTGAAAGGACTAGTTCAACGCTGTGGGCAAAGCGGGACTGATATGTAAGTGACATTTGAAAACTTTGTTATTTTAGTTCTATAAGGTTTTGTTGCTCTGTTTTGCATGTTCATCTTATATATCCGCTTGGATTTATGGTGTCCTTTGATTGTCTGTGGTTTTAGTCAATTTCATGATCCGTTAAGTAGTCGGCCCAATTTAAACTCGGTGTTTCGTGATTGTGCTTCGTGCGAAGTAACACTACCTAAAAGCTTATTTACTTAGACTGACATTATTTATACTGAAAAATTAACATTTACAACCTTGTTCTCTCGATTTATGTTGTAAATTTAATTCATAACACTATTTAATACCATATATACATGGACCAAGTCTTACCCCCCTAAATTTATCTATTGTCTTTATAATTGCAATGTGTGTGTGTAGCACTACGCTATTATACTTTAAAATGAGCACAAAGCTATTGTTTTTTCGGCAAAAAATTTTCAATGCATGTCACACCGAAAAACAAGCACTCTCCCACCACAGTTCTCGCACGCCCCGCTAATTGCTAATGCCGCTATGAAAAAATCAAACTCTCGTGTGTTCACGAGTTGGTTCGTGTGTCCCACGAGAAAAACGAGGGAAGAAGATGGCCGACCAAAATTCAGAGGATGTTGAAATGGAGAGGGAATCCAACCATTCTGATGGCTCCTCTGATGAGAGTATGGCCGAAACAACAGACTCAGTTGAAGACGAAAAGTTAGACCCCGAAGAGTTGAGTTTTTATTCCCAAATTAGCTTAACTTGGGCATGTTAATGCGGTCAAACCGGTCATCAAATTTGCCACTAAAATAACGCAGTCTTTTGACAAACCGTCCTTTTTATTTTATCAAGGCTTGCCGAGAAAAACAAACAAGCGGGAAACGAAGCTTACACGGCAAAAGACTATAAGTTGGCTGTGAAACATTATTCTGCAGCTATTGGTATGAATTATGTGAACGTAGTCTTTGAACATCGTATATTCAATATATTTATCTGTCAGTCTCAGACGTATCAAATTAATTCGTAGAATTATTTAATATGTCCGTTTTTCACATACAAATTTATTGCTTCGTGTTGTTCCAATTTGATGCACAAGACTAAGTGAATGTTCGTGAAGAAATAACGTGAAATATACCCAGTCTATTAGACTCAGTCTATTAAGACAGGCTAGATGACTTTATATTGTACTGTCTGAAAAGAAAGTTGTCATTTCTAAATACGACAGGCACTATAAAGTCCCTGTGATGGTTTAAACTGAGGCATTTTATTTGTACCATAATCAACCCATTCACTTGCAACGTACCAAGTTAAACCAAACATAAAAAAAATACCTCACCCTCACCTGACTTCAACTGAAAAGCAACTTAAAACAATAATATTCTTGTATGTTTGCATGGTGACATCAATAAGTGAATTAGCTTGTAGGTACACCACATAATTATTTAATACTGCAAAGATTTCGGTCCATTAACCTGGGCCTTCATCAGTCAATACAAAAACAACTTAAAATAACTTAAATGGATTACCCTAGAAACAAAAATGTTCAATCAAATGTTCAACTGGGTGGGTTGGAAAAGTTTATTGCCCTGCTTTGATTGAGGTTTTTATGGGGAATTCCTGTATTACAAGTCTTACTAACCTTGCTGACAGTGTCTTTTTATCAAGATGACAAGTTTTTGTCTATTTAAAACAGTTTAAACACTTCATTTTATTAGGAATTTCATGAAATCACTTAAATACCTAGAAACATGCTAAGATATTAAATCATTCTGTGCCAGATGATTGAGCTGTGTAAATAATTTGAACACGAATAATGTTGTGCAACATTCTTGTTGAGGAAGTATTCTGATTATTATTATGCTGTAATTTCAGAACTGAACAAGACTTGTGCAGCATATTATGGAAATCGGTCTGCAGCATATCTCATGGCAAAAGATTACAACCGTGCACTTGATGATGCCAACATTGCCATACGTTTGGACGAAAACTACATCAAGGTATAGTAAAATTGAAACTGGGCAATTTCCCACTCCAATGAACTAGTTGTGAAATTTTGACCGGTTTTCACTTGAGATGTAAAGATTCCTTTTATAATCTATAGGCTATTCTCTAAAAACGATTATCTTGCTTCCTACAGGCATATTTCAGGATTGCAAGATGCAATCTTGCTCAGGGCTCAACCGAGTCCGCTGAACGAGCTTTGGGAAAAGCAAAAGAAATTGACCCGAACAATAAAACTTTGGCCAATGAGGTACAACAATCCTTTATTATTGCAATGATTTAAACCTTACCTCGTAGTTATGTCTGGATCTTATCATCTTAATGTCCATTAGAGTGGTGCTAGCTTGCCAGCAGCCTGAAATTTTATGCCCTGAGGGGACTCCCACTGAGCTGCTAGCAAGCAAGAGTGTTGTACACATTCTTTAGCACACATTAAAATACATTTATGGGTTTTAGTATTCAAGGGTCCATCAAATTCAACAATTTGAAGCTTCAGCTTTCGAGGCTCATGATAAAAAAGATTATCGGAAGGTTTGTGCATTTCTGTGCATATGCTTTAATTGAACATGTTCAGCATATGAAGGTCGTCCAGGTTTTCATATTAGATTTAGTAATTGTATCAGATGCAAAACAGGATTAGAATCCTTGCATTTTGATTGTATGGGAGCATTATGTCTTTTAATCTTTTACTTAAACTTTTATGTTTAGTCTATGTAAAATACATTAACACTGTTTGACTGAGACAGAGGAAAAGAGTGCTGCTACACAAATTTTAAATTAAACTGGATGTATAATAACCTAGCCAGTCAAGCAAACAATGTTGAACTTTCATCAAAATCATGTACAATTGTTTCCAGGTGGTGTTCTGCACAAGACGTTTACTGGAATTGTCCCCAGACTGTGATCTTTACAAAGTTTTGAGAGCAGAATCCCTTGCTTTGATGAAGAAATATACTGAAGCTGAAATTGAGGCAAAGTATGACATTTTGATTTTTCTATTTAGATTGAGAAAAACTTATGTAGTTTTACTTACCTATGGTGTATAATGCAGAATGAATGTGTGTTAAATTCCCTTAGGATGATGTGAGATATTGTTGTATTGTGATAATAATCTTTGTCTCCAATTCCTAGCTCGATGCTAAGAGAAAATAACAGAAATGCAGATGCGTTGTATGTCAGAGGACTGTGTCTGTACTATCAGGTGAGGTTGACACCTGTTATCATATCCTATTGTTCTATAGTGGTTCCTTAACTGTGTACCAGCATCTCACAATCTTTAACCTTCTCCTCACCATGAAGTGGGGTGTAAAACAGTATTTCAAAATATCACATGTTTTCAATAGTATAAGTTACTTTTTTTTCATTTTACAATCCTTCCTAATCAGTTTACAATATCCATTCCTTACCATTACCACTCCTATAGAAAACCCTGTGTAGAAACTCCACCCCATCCCCTGTACAAAGAATCACCCCTGTTAGGTGGTTTACATCTATTGACCCACCCATTTCAATCTCCTGTACAAATCTTGGGACAAATCCCCTGTACAATTCCACTGTCCTGATCCTGGGTCATTAAATTTCATAGTTTTAAAAAATATGCATTTTTTAGGACTATGAAGATGAGGCATTTCAGTGTTTCACCAGTGCTTTGAAAATAGATCCCGATCATAAAAAGGCAAAGGCGATACGAAAGGTAATTTTTCTTTTAGTTTAGTTCAGATTTCCTCCTGTAGTAACACTGGATAAATAAGAGATGATCCTTACTGAACCTCTACGAAGAACAGTTAAGAACTGATAGAGCTTTCCAGAACAGACAGCAAACTAAATTTATAACGAAACAATTTTATTTCGTTTAAAACAGAAAGCAAAGTTATTAAAGTCTACGAAAGATGATGGTAACGAAGCGTACAAAACGGGAAAATTCCAAGAAGCATACGATTTATATTCCAATGCTCTAGAAATTGACCCAAACAACGTCTCAACGTGTGCAAAATTATTTTACAACAGAGGTGTCGTGGCATCCCGGGTATTGTGAAATATCTTAACAAGTCGTCTTTGAACTCACTCTGAAAGCTGTCATTTCACACCCAGGATAACGTTATGTTTCGAGTAATCAACCTACCGTCTTTTGCTGTAGTTGAAAATGATGACAGAGGCCGTAGATGACTGCACTGAAGCAATAAATCTGGATGGAAGTTACTTAAAAGCTTACATAAAGCGAGCAAAATGGTATGAGGAGTTGAAATAAGTGAATTTTTTAGATTGTAGAATACTACCTACACTGGACCACCACGTTTGAGATATCTTTTTCAGGTAGTTCAGACACAAACCACGACAGCTTATTGTAGAATACTACCTACACTGAACCAACACGTTTGAGATATCTTCTTCAGGTAGTTCAGACACAAACCACGACAGCTTACTGTAGAATACTACCTACACTGGACTACCACGTTTGACATATCTTTTTCAGGTAGTTCAGACACAAACCACGACAGCTTATTGTAGAATACTACCTACACTGGACCACCACGTTTGAGATATCTTTTTCAGGCAGTTCAGACGCAAACTACGACAGCTTATTGTAGAATACTACCTACACTGGACTACCACGTTTGAGATATCTTTTTCAGGTAGTTCAGACGCAAACTACGACAGCTTATTGTAGAATACTACCTACACTGGACTACCACGTTTGAGATATCTTTTTCAGGTAGTTCAGACACAAACAACGACAGCTTATTGTAGAATACTACCTACAATGGACCACCACGTTTGAGATATCTTCTTCAGGTAGTTCAGACACAAACCACGACAGCTTATTGTAGAATACTACCTACACTGGACCACCACGTTTGAGATATCTTCTTCAGGTAGTTCAAACACAAACCACGACAGCTTATTGTAGAATACTACCTACAATGGACCACCACGTTTGAGATATCTTCTTCAGGTAGTTCAAACACAAACCACAACAGCTTATTGTAGAATACTGCCTACAATGGACCACCACGTTTGAGATATCTTCTTCAGGTAGTTCAGACACAAACCACGACAGCTTATTGTAGAATACTACTTACAGTGGACCACTGCGTTTGAGATATCTTTCTCGGTTTAATGTACTATAATATAATAATAATAATAATAATTTATTCACACAAATAAAGGTCATGTGAAGTAGGAGATAATGAGGTTATCCCTATCTAGTTATCTCCAAAATTAACAAATAAGTAAGGGAAAAAATAGAATCTACATATTCATATAAAATATAGTTACTAGGTATATCTACTCCATTAAATAAGTTTTCAATCCTCTTTTGAACTCTGTTAAACTTTCTGCCTCTGCAACATGTTTGGGCAGACTATTCCAAATTGGAACAATACGTACAAAGAAAGAATATTTATAACTATTTAATTTTACGATAATTTGTTTTTATTTATCCCAACAACAGTTACATGGAAACGGAGAAGTACGAAGAAGCAGTCAGAGACTATGAAAAAATCTGCAAAATGAATGGATCCAGAGGTGTGTTGTTGCTTCATCATGAGATTTTTTGCTTTGGGTAAACAAGAATTTGCATGAAAGTCTTATGAATTCTCATCCCCTGGGTCAAACGAGAACAAAAATTGAACGGGTAAACTCTCCAACTCACTTCGAAATCCAATGAAAGTTTATGTGGGTTAGCGTGTGATGATAGCTCGTGTGCTCAGCTGGATTTTTATTTTTTGAACAGAGCATAAGATGCTGCTTCAAGAGGCTAAACTTGAGCTAAAGAAGAGTAAACGGAAAGATTATTATAAAATACTGTCGTTGTCAAAGAGTTGTTCAGACGCAGAGGTGAAGAAGGCTTACAGAAGAGAAGCTTTGAAACATCATCCAGGTAGGGTTGAAGAGAGTGGGTGGGGAAATTGGGGGAGGGTAGGTGGAGAGGTGGGGCTTAGGAGGAACGGATGGAGGGGTGGGGGTTAGACAAAACGGGGGGAGAATGGGGTGTGGATAGAGTAAAAAGAAAAGAGAGAGAGAGTGGATGGAGAGATGTGGTTAAGAAGTATAGTGGTATGGTTCTTTGGTGTTAGTGAAAGTGTGATGAAGTGGCGGGGTTGCGAAGTGTGGGTGGAGAGAATGTTTGAAGAGTGGATGAAGATGAGTTAATAGAAGAGAGAGACAGGGTTTAGAGGATGTATATGCACTCCGTGCATCTTTCACCGGACCGTTTCTGATCACTGACAATCATTTTCAGATCGGCATTCTGGAGCGACTGACCAAGTCAAAAAGGACGAGGAAATGTTATTCAAAGAGGTACTGTGTGTATTATGACTTCTAGATATCTTGCTTTATTAAGAAACTTGACTAACTAACAGGATAAAGTAATAATCCTCATGTGGTTATTTGCAGGTGAACGAGGCGTACAGCGTGCTGTCAGATCCACAGAAGAAAGCGAGATATGACAGAGGCGAAGATATCGATGGAAATAGTTTCTCGACTGCAGGTATTCTATAGTTCGAAAATGAAGTCTTTATTTAGGTTTTCACCTGTGATAACACAAGATCGGTGAGAGATTATCATAGTTTAGGTTTTCTCCTGTCGTACCACTGGATCATCTTTGCTGGACCTCAAGGAAGAACAGTTTAGAAGTGATATAGCTATCCAGTATAAATAGAGTTAGCTTAATTTAGGTTTCTTTATGCAGTAACACTAGATCAATAAGAGATGATCCTTATTGGACTTATAGGAAGAACAGTTTAGAAGTGATAGAGCTATCCAGTATAGAGTTAGTTTAGTTTAGTTTAGATTTCCTCCTGTAGTAACACTGGATCAATAAGAGATGATCCGTACTGGACTTATAGGAAGAACAGTTTAGAAGTGATAGAGCTATCCAGTATAGAGTTAGTTTAGTTTAGTTTAGATTTCCTCCTGTAGTAACACTGGATCAATAAGAGATGATCCGTACTTGGACTTATAGGAAGAACAGTTTAGAAGTGATAGAGCTATCCAGTATAGAGTTAGTTTAGTTTAGTTTAGATTTCCTCCTGTAGTAACACTGGATCAATAAGAGATTATCCGTACTGGACTTATAGGAAGAACAGTTTAGAAGTGATAGAGCTATCCAGTGTAAATAGAGTTAGCCTAGTTCGAGATTCCTCCTGTTGCAACGCTGGATCAATAAGAGATGATCCTTACTGGACTTCTAGGAAGAACAGCGTACACAGATAAAAATTGCAATCGTGGTAATCAATTCCCATCTTTTTCTCGTTTCAAAGATTTCGATCCGAACACGATTTTCCAGGCCTTCTTCGGCGCTGGTGGTGGATTTCCGAACTTTGGTGGACGACGCCAGGCCGGAGGATATCCTGGACACGAATTTAACTTCACGTTTGGTTAAGGTGACAACAAATTGATATCTGCATTCTCGACATATACGGCGACCGTACGGTAAAATAAAAACATTTGCACATGCAGTGTGATGCAAAAATTTGGCGTTTAACGTTGTACAGTATTATACATTTATACTGAAATATCACTGGGACATAACATTATCATTGACATTCTTTAACTGTACAGTTGAACACACGCACTGCTTAAATTAAAGGCCCGTTTACACTTGCGATTTTTGCTGCGATTTTCTCCTTTTGATAGATGTGAACGAGTGAATTAGTCACGAAGGTTCCGATGTGTACGAGCTCCTATTTGAACATCCGTGACTAATTCACTCGTTCACATCTATCAAAAGAAGAAAATTGCACATTAAATCGCAGCAAATATTACAAGTGTTAATGGACCTAAAGAGTTCTTTCAACAGCGGATAATAAATAAACTGGAGTGATTGAAAATTGGGTGGAAATTTCAAAATTTTGGTGTAATATTTAAAGATACAAAACAGCTGTCGCTAGGCCAAAGGAACCGGCAAATTTTCGAGAGTTATTTATGTATTATCCTTTTACCTATAAAATCTTGAAATTTCTGCTTCAATTATATATAGTGGTTTTCAATAGCTTCAGTGTCATATACAGCGCATGCAGCGTTTAGCGTGAAGCATTTCTTTCTGCCCAAGAGTCGAAAAAAAATAAAAGGCATCAATGGTGTATTGAGTTCGCTGAATGTGAAGCCAAATGTTGAGGTTATTTTAAATTTACAACGAAACGTTGTGAAACAGTTTTGCGAGCTCCCAGTAATTCTGTTGCATGGTTAACTATAGTGTTATGTACTTGAATCCACCTTTATAGTGACTGGTAACGGGTCATCCCTAAAACTCTTTGTCTCTGGAGTTGACTTTTGCGAGTTTACCCTCGTTGGTGGAGGAGGCTGTCTTGTATCGCCCGTGCTTGGCGATTCAACATCACATTTTTCGTCCATTAGTTGTGTTTCCGACCTTTCAATCTCCACCTCACTTTCACAGTCCTTTTGTGAAGACATCTCGTCTAGAATATCTGGCAAAGCCGGCGATTCAGCATCGCTCTGTTTCGCGAAATCCCCTCCTAACAGGCGACCTTTCGTTTCACATCTTCTCTCGCAAGTCCTTCTTCTGGAAGCATTTGAAAGGCCGCACGTTTGAAATTCGCCGTTAGCCAGTTCTAATATTCTCAGTTTGTTTTCAATCTCGATATTTGTCTTGTATCCTACGTTCGGTATGCAAGGTAGACTTGGAAAAAGCACATCGCATACAGGCACTTCCCTTGTACATCTCCTAGTCCCGGGAATATTTAGTATCCGGTGACGTGATTGGATTCCGCTCTTGCTAAATCCAGCGTTCGACCTTATCCGTGATAGGTTGTAATCCAGCTGGATTGCTTGGCTTCCGTTTGACGTTGTTTTTATATCGTCCTCTATGGGACGTAACCTTCTACCTAGATTGTCAGTTCTAGGTCTTAATAACTGCCTATCTTTCTTGTTTTCAACACAAATCTCCATTTGTTTTGCATTCAAAGACAGCTCTGTTTCCCCCTTATCCTTAATACGAAGTGCAAATCGCCTGTCCTCCGATTTTTCGCCTCTCGGATTTTGTCGACAGTTCCCGCCAAGTCCCAAACTTCGGTCTAACACGAAAGGCTTTCGCCTGGGATATTTTAGCTGTTTCAACCGCTCCATAGCACTCACTAGATGCTTCTGTTCCTTCGTAATAAGTTCCGAGTCCAGTTGTCTAATCCTCTCAAAGTAAACCGTCTGTTTTTCGCAGCCAGTTCGGCTGTCTTGGAACCAAAATACTTGACCATCGGTGTTTGGTCGCCCCTCGTAGAACACGCGCCTCATTCGGCTTTTAAACCAGTTTTAAAACTTGATATTTTTCTGAGATGACTGTAATTTATAGCGCCTCTATACTAAACGTCAACCTAAACACACAAATTCATTGATGCGGCAGGGTCACTAGGCAACCTTAGTAATTTAATCCCATGTTAAAATTGGTTATAATCCAATATTAAAATTGGTTGTAAGCTTCCCTTTATCGCTTACGCAACGAATACTTGTCTCTTCTTCCGTGATGTCAGTACGGTGTACGACTCAATATGTAAAATGTACAAATTATATTTGTGCTGTTTTCAGTTTGGAAGTGGTTCCCTGTAGAAGTGATACGCATAAATAGATAAAAGCATACCCTAACCAACCCATATTCTGATTGCAAACATGATGCAATCCTGAATGGCCAAAAACTATTTATAAACTTCGTACAAGAATGTTTCTTTTTTACGTACTTTGGATTAATTGTAACTCTGTTTTCGAGTAAAATATTCAATGTTATAATCAAAACCGATAATATTTAGACGAAAAGGAATGCAAAGTGGCAAAAAAGCTATAAAAGAGTCTATAAAAAGGACTGTGGTCAGTAAAGTGGTAGTGGTGAGAATATTCGCAGAAGAAAAGCTGACGCTGGTGAATGAAATCAGTGAATGGTCGCCCGAACCGTCTGTAGGTTGACGCCCTTGTCGAAGTAACTATCCTGGCCCCTTTGTATGGTGTAACTGCGTGTAACAGATTGTAGAATTTCGTGTTGAACGAAAGAGTCCCTTCAAATTTCTGTTCAATAATCTGCTTGTCTGATGTCTAATGCGCGGGCACGACATGCGAAAAAACCCCGAAAAACTTCCTCAAAATGTATCAAGGCAAACATTCACTTTCGTCGTACTTTTTTAAAATGTACTAATTCAAATAGTTTTGAGCATTCTTTCTTAGACGACTAATATGTGCTGACATTTATATAAACAATCCTAAGGAGCGATTACTTTATAAGGTAAGAAAATCGTTTCACTTTTCTCTTTCAGAAATAAAAAGTCTTAAAACTGAAACGAGTGAGAGAACTAGGTCTAGTTTTTTTGACAACTCTTAATTCGTGCGAAAATAAACAATGAAAGGAACGAAAGATTGCCCATTTGCCCGTTGTTTAAAGTATGTTCCAAAGCGCACTTCCTTCTCTAAGGGTACTTAAAAAGGAACGCTTAAAAATGACTTTAATTGGATTTAATTACAGTTAAATTTGAAAGGAAATGTTTGAGTCTTCGCGAGGATTGGAGGCCATATTTGTCTACCCAGAATGCAGTGCTCCGGATCCTCCCCAATCGTCCTGGTCGCCATCTTGCTGTCTGGCTTCCGCCTGTGATAACCTCGAAGTTTCAACCTTTATATCTCACGAAAAACAACGCTATTTTCAATAAGAACACAGAGTTATAAGCCGACAGAATTCTTCAACCACTATGTCTATTCAGGGCAGGCTTCCTGCTTGTGTTATCGACAATGGAACTGGGTAAGTCAAATGCTCTTGTTCATTTTGCCAAGTTCCGGGGGTATAATGAACTCCCTAAAAGTTTATTTCTTGCTTTGCGTGCTTGCATAGCATGTTTTCCAGCTGTTTGTTGCGATATATAATATGTATTTCAAGTGCTGTAGCTTTTTCAACTGTAGTTTCTGCGTGTATTTTTGTATATAACACCTATAAACTTAGCGATTCTTGCAAAGGCCGAAACACCCCAAAGTCCAGACAACTAGTTTATGTTTACTGAATTTTTCTATTAACACGTTCCGTGTAGTCAATTTATTAATTAATATACCAAAACAACTAGATATATCTATTGCCATTGCAATAGCAGATAGTCCTGGAGAAAAAGTAATTTTGCTTTGTTTTCCTACAAAACATTTTAATTGCCTCAGGACTCAGATTTTATTGGCCGAACCCTTCTCAAAAACTCAATGTGTACACTTCAAGGTTTGACATATGAAAGTGAGCATAATATAAGTGATATTTCAAGCATATTTCTGTTCCCAAAACTTTTTCCAACTTTACGAAATACACTGAAAACATTGCTGCTGGCTGAAGACTATAATTAGCGGTGGCAAGGCATGGTCTTAATTTGGGGAAGGGGGCTACGAAATGACGTTAAAGTGCATGTGTGTTGATATGTGTGTTGATATAATATTGAAGATTAAAAAACACAACATGCCTCCATAATGTAGTATTCATGGTCCAAATTTGCCCTTGAGTAGATACATACCGCTTATATACAAATTAAAAGTGACTAAATTCCCCTTTAATTAGCAGCTAATTTGTGATAAAATGTCTTAATGAGATCATGAGCTGTTGCCAGGTAGATTATCTCCAATCCAAGGCTAATGTTCTAATTTGTTTCAAATACAAAATTTAGGTATACAAAAATGGGTTATGCTGGTAACACTGAACCACAGTTTATTATGCCATCAGGTAAGTTGTGAGATGCAATGGAATTTTGAATGTTTTTGAATGAACAGATTGAATAAACAGATTGAATAAACAGATTGAATACAAGAGCAAAATTCAATTTTTAGCCATAGCCATAAAGGAAACTGCCAAAATTGGTGACAAAAGTCAACGAAGAACAACAAAGGGTGTTGAAGATCTTGGTATGTGTGGAAAAAATTATTTTTGCTAAAGAAAAAAATTGGCTATTGTTTGAATTCATTTTCTTTCCAAGATGTACAGTTAAATTTTGATTTCATAAAAATCTATGAAGTTGAGGCGAATTTAATTGACATAAAAATAAATGTAATATCCTGTTAGAATCATAAGCTTTGACTAATGATGGAATTGAAATCCTGTTTATTGGGATTTCTTGCAACTTTATCATTTTATTAAACTGTATTTTTAAAGTGAAATTATTTTATTTTTGAGATGTATTAATAACTGCATGTTTAGCCTGATTTATTTCTTCCATATCTGTCTTTGCAAAGAGAGAGAACATAGAGTACATTGATAAAGTGTATCTCTACTTGGTTTAGATTTTTATATTGGAGATGAAGCAATTGAAAAGCCACAATACAGCACAAAGGTTTGTATACCCATTATTTAACTGTTGTCTATAAAGGTTTTCATGGCTGCTATCTTTGTGGTCAACTTCAAAGTCCCGCCTTTATTAATGTATGCATGTTCCTTGTGGGAACTTTGAAGTTGACCACAGGAATGGCCGCCATGAAAAACCTCTATTGCTTTTTACAAACATTTATGCTATACAAAATGCAATTCTGCGTAAGGTCTATGCGCATTGGTAATTTATTGGTTAAAATCTAGAAGTACTAATATATTGATTTAATATTGATTTTTATCTCAATAAATTTTGTATTTGTAGTGGCCAATTCGTCATGGCATCGTGGAAGATTGGGATCTGATGGTGTGTTATTCATTTTAAGTTTTTCACGAACTTTTACAACAAAACCTCAATTTCTTGATTCAAATATTCATCAAGTTTTTCAATTACCTATTTTTAGGAGAGATTTTGGGAACAGTGTATATTCAAGTATCTTCGTGCTGAACCAGAAGACCATTATTTCTTACTGGTAACTTTGGCTTTTCTACATTGTAATAAGTATACATATTTTGAGTTTATTGTTAAAATGTAAATCTTCTTTTATAGACTGAGCCACCTTTAAATACTCCTGAAAACAGAGAATACACTGCTGGTAATTAAAACCATGTTATAATAATGGAGAAGTTATCATAATGGTTTTATTTAGTTTACCTGTGACATGCTGTATACCCAGTGATGAGAATCTCATGTTTTTCCACTGTTACTATAGTAGTGACACCCAGGTCCAAAGTTTAGAGGCAGAAGAGTATTCACTACATCCTAACATTTCTATGTTTATGAGTCTGGAATAGTCTTCATGCCACAGGCTC